GAGTTCTAATTCTTCCTTAAATGTTTGGCAGAGCCTGGCATGTCAACACATGCCTGCAATCCCAACTTTCAGGAGGCAGAGGCAAGTGGATCTATATGAGTTCAAGGCCAGCCTTGGGTCTGCATAGTGAATTTCAGGCCAGTCAGGGCTACATAGTATCAAAAAAAAAAAAATTGCTGGGGCTGCAGGGGTTAAGAGCACTGACTGCTTTTGCAGAGGAACAGTTTGATTCCCAGCACCTACATGGCAGCTAACAACCATAATTCCAGTTCCAGGAGAACATGACCCCCTCTTCTGACCTCCCTGGGCATTGCATGACACAGGTACACTTACATATATGCACACAAAACATTCACACACATAAAATAAAAATAATGAATAAAATATTTTTTTAAAAAAAAGCTGGGGGCTAAAAAGAAGGTTCAGTGGAGGTTCAGTGGTTAAGAGCACTGGCTGCTCTTGCAGGGGACCCAGGTTCTGTTCCCAGAACCCACTCAGTGGCTCACAATCATCTGTAACTCCAGTTCTAGGAAGTCTGATGCCTTCTTCTGGCCTCCAGGAGCACCAGGAATACACGTGGCACACATACACACATACAGGCAAACACTCATACACATAAAATAAAAATAAATATGATCCTATAAAAAAGAACAAAACTATTTCTTTAAAGCTAGTGGGTAATCTAAACACAAACATCAAATCAACACACACTGAAACAATTTTTAATATTTTATATATTTATTTTTTTATTTTATGTATATGAGTATATTGCCTGCATGTAGGTGAGTGCACCCATGTGGTGCGATGCCACGGTGGTCAGAAGAGGGCGTTGGGTTCCCCTGGAACTGGAGTCAAGGATGGTTTGTAGTCACCATGTGGGTGCTGGGAATCAAACCCAGGTCCTCTACAAGAGCAGTCAGTGCTCTTAACCACTGAGCCATCTCTCCAGCCCCTGAAACAATTTTTAAATAACACTATTTAATTACATTAATTATTCATTAGCTCACGTTTAACAAACTTTGTAGTCATTTCTTCTTCCTTGAGTTCCAATCAAATCTTTTAGGCAGTTGCCAAGCAAATCTTCTATTATTCAGAAGGTTTCTGAATATCAACGTAAGAACTTAATTCAAACCCGCTGGTCCTCTGTCATTTACAATGTTTTGAGAAAGTATTAATATAAAACCATTTCTACACTGATTAAAGAATTGATTCAGTTTTTTGTAAAGTATAACCCAATGTTAGTCTGAGATATGCATAGGATTCTTGGAATAAAGTATCATCTGGAACATGATGTTACCCCAATCTAAATACACCATCAAATCCTGCTCTTTGTACATAATTGAACTCAGTACATTCTTCTTACAAAAAGGTACGTTAATGAGAGTAATATAACAAAAGGAATATTTTTATATTTACTAACCTTAATCATTCCCTACTTCTTCATATCTTTAGGAAAAATAGAATGTTGATTAGCAAAATAACTTATTTTCTAAAACGACTGCAGATATATGTGTTTTGAGAGTTGATTTCTTCCAAATTTTCAGTGATGTCTGCTATAAATATCTCATGGTCAAAATATTTCTATTAGTTAAGAAGCAGTAATAAAGTAGAACTATTTCACCCACAGATCCAAAGGCATACAGAAAACACTATGAATTACCAAGTGAGCCCATTGAGTGGAACATAAAGCAAAAATGAGTCTAAGAGACAGCTGCATATGTTTATGTAGGCAAAAGGGGTTAGAAGATATGCTGACAACACCAAGAGGTGTGTTGCAATGGACATGAGAGAGACAGCCAGTGAGCCAGCCACCTCTGTTCTATCCAGGAATTTCTTGTGTGCCCATTACTGTCTCATATCTGGACAGCTGTGCTATTAAAATAGTGCCCCAAACTAAAGTCATCAAAATAGTTTATTCTTCAGTTTGTTCTTGTATTGCATATTAAGCACACATGTCTCACACACACACACACACACACACACATACACACACACACACACACACACACACACACACACACACACACACAAACCACATTTCGGCTTTTTTCAGGGAAGCATTTCATGTTCAGACACCAGAATTTTATGAGTCATGGCCAAGGATGAGAAAAGGGCTTTGTGAACAAGCTTGTTCTGATCATGTCCACCCCTGTCTGATACAAGTACATGTTCATAGCACCTCGCTTTCATAAACACAACAGTACTTCTAAACAGTCCTTTGAGTGGTCACCTTTAGTACTGGGTTAGGCCTCAAGTTTTTATAGCTGAGTTTCTTTGGAACAGAAAATGTTTTAAGGGTTAGAGGAAAAGGGCAGTTTTCTTCATTCCTTTATCTTTCATCATCTTTAAAAATATGCCGTTAGGAAAGATTTTAGAGTTGGTTAGAAGCCAAAAGTTTCATTGACCCTTTTAGTTGATGCCATTCTGCGTTTCTTGCCTCAGGAAGTAACTGTTTTTGAACGCGTTTGCCTTCTAATTTATACAGTCTAGGCATAACTTGAATCTGAACCCAACACCAAGCACATGCATTAGCACTTTGCAATTAACAGCAATTAGGGCCTCACTGTCTCTTTTGCTCTGAATAGCATCCCATTAGAAACTGATGCTTGCAGAAGCTATGTGACTTGGCCAAATCAATTGCCCAACTGATAAGTTACTGAGTTACAAACTTAGGCTTTTGGAAAAAGCTGCTTCCAGAAGCCTTGGGTTATCAAATAAAAATCCATGCCAGGAGTAAGATACCTCCTTGTGAATTGTAGGTACAGAGACCCTAAAGGCCCCCAAAACAGTATGGGCTCTTGAAATTCTTCTTTTTTGTGCCTCAGAATTAGAAAATAAAACCTTATTGCTGAAGATACCACATACCTCTGATGCCTGATATAGAAAAATTGGAACTAAAATTTCTTGCTTGTCAGTAGCTTCCATAGTCCTAGAAGTTGCTATACAGACTACTGGAGGAGAGAAGGTATCAATGGTATTATGCAACTGAATCCTGTGATCCAGTAGACCAACACGCAAGACAACATGTGCCCAACTGTGTGATAGCGGCACTTCTGTTATGGGGGTAACCAACTGCTCTCTGGTTGGCTTTGAGATCCACTCCTTGGTAGGGAATCCACGCCTTGTACTGTTAACCTGATGATAAAAAACATTGCTGGGGAGACCATAGCCATAGGGAGAACTGAATACTGTTGACTAGCAAATTGACATACTGTCAAGCTGCCTTCTAAACACCAATATACCGGGGACTGGAGAGATAGCTTAGTGGTTAAGAGCACTGGCCATTCTTGCAGGAAACCCAGGTTCAAATCCCAACACTGACATGGCAGATAATCCCCAGTTTGAGGGGATTTGAAGCCCTCTTCTGACATCTGCGGGGTTCTCATGACACAAGTGCACTTACATACATGCTATGTAACACTCATACACATAATTTTTTTTTAAAGTTTAAGTACCAGTACACCAATAGACAGACACTGTTCTCAGTTCTCATCAGAGAAGCCTGTCTTTACTGTAAGTGGTGATAAATGCAGGCTCATGGCTGCATGGAATGCTGAGAATAAGCAATGGGTAAGGGCTCTACCCTAAACAAGGCATTTATACCAACCCCTCTAAGATTCAAGGAACATTGCAAAGATGGGGCAAAAAGAATGCAAGATCCAGAAGACAGAGTAAAGAGCTGAGAAATGTCATCTCTTAGGCAAGACACAGGGGTTACAATCATGAACCCACAGCAGTTATGGTTTCCTGCACTGGGTCTACACAGGAACAATCCCATCAACAGTCAGACATGAATGGAGAAGGGACTCAGGGGCCCTACACCTCACTGCTGGACTATTTGCTACTGATAGTTTCAGGGAGAGGGCCCACTATTGCCTACAGTAGTGTACCCACTGATGACCCTACCAATGGACAGTTTCAATCAAATGGTCACACTGATGTCCCTGGTTAGATTAAATGGGTCACAAAACAAAATCAAAGGTCATGAATCTTGGAAAAGGACTGGTAGTGTTGGGGAAATGGGGTGATAGGGATGCAAGAAGACAGGAAGGGAGTGTAGAGATGGTAATCACAATACACTGCATACATGTATGGAAAAACAAAATTAATTAATAAAAATCTTAGCCTTGGGCTGGAGAGATGGCTCAGTGGTTAAGAACACTGGTTGCTCTTTCAGAAGACCCAGGTTTGAATCCCAGCACCCATACGGCAGCTAACAACTGTCCATAACTCCAGTCCCAGGGGACCCGACAGCCTCTTCTGACCTCTGCAGGCATTGCATGACACGTGTGCACTTACCTACATGCAGGCAATACACAAATACACATAAAATGAAAAATTTTTCTTAAAAACTTAGCCTTTGTTCAAATACCTGGAAACACAGAATCAAGAGTGGGTTTACATTCAAACAGAAAAAAAAGTTTCATCTTTGAAAATTAGTCAAATTTGAGCAAAAAGATCAGCAAGAAACTTATCTCCATTGGGCACAGTTCTAAGGGCCTCAGAACGGTCTGCAGTAGCAGCATGTGTGCGTGTATCATTCAGTTATTTCAAATACAGAGTAAAGATTCCTAAGGGGGAATCATATACCCACTAAATACTTCTTTATAATAGTTCTTCTTCTTTATACTTTTTAGTTTTAGAATGTCCAAACAGTAGAGTTGATAAATAAATCAAAATATTGAAGGTATTTGTTTATATTTATTTTAATTCAAATATCCTTTTTTTTTTTTTTTTTGGTCTTTTTGAGATAGGGTCTCCCTGCAGCCCCAGCTGTCCTGGAATTCACTATGTAGACCAGGCTGGCCTTGAAATCACAGAGATCTGCCTGTCTCTTTTGCAGTGAAACTACAAGCCTTACTTATATTCAAATGAGCTGACAATTACGGAAAATAATATTTTCCCCAAAAAAGCCAAATCCACATGCAAAACTATTAATAGCTCTTGTTACAGACAGAGATCTGATTCAATGTTTGGACATAACAGACATTTATGGTGTTGTTTGGGCTTTAAACAACTTGATAGAGAAACAGTGGTGGAAGGAAGAAGGGGTTGAAGAAAAGGGGAAAGGGAGGTTGCTACACAAGCCCGACATCTAGGGATCCCAAAGTACCTGCCATGAGTTCTCATGTAGTAGTCCACGCTGGTATGGTCATTTTGACTCTGCTATGGGGCCCACTGTGTATTTGGATTCCCCCTCAGAAAAAGTGCCTTGACCTGAACCCCACTGTGAGGCTATAACTCTAATGATCTGTCTAGTTCTTGCCGATGTCCTTCAGTCAGGGGCTGGATCCTGTTCCCAAGACCCAGCAGCTAACCAGGCTCCTTTTACAACCAAAGCAAGACCAACAACAAATAGGTGACCTTGCCTCATACTCATACAAGGATGTCCACTCACCAGAATGAACACTTGGACACTGAGGTCAGCCTCTGGAGAACTTTACTCACCATTTAGAATCATCATTAGTACACTGGCCTTCTCCAGGTAGTTCTGACCCTAGGATTTATCCTGCCTCTCTTCCAGCCTCCTCTGAAGTTCCCAACATGCCTTTAAACCAGTCTCAAAGGGTTATAACATGTCACATGTGGTTTAAACTTTTTTAACTGGTGGTTGATGGATTTCTAAGACGTGACCCTCTGTGCATTAGTAAGATCTACTCCTGCCTTTACTTATTTTGTGGTTATCATTAGATTAGACATGTGTGCCTTCTGTACTCCCAGTAACGTTCATCACAGTCTGTCTTCTTTTCTGTGTGTCTTCAAGGAACATAACAAATATACACAGAAACATACTTTGAAAGCCTATTTCACCAATTTCTGAGGGTAAGAATGAAGAATATACAGACCTCCATTGAATTGCTGCTTCATAGCATGTACAGAATTCACTTTGCACAACTGGCCTTTCAAGAGTGAATGTTTAAATGATTATATTAAAAATGTTTTTAGCTATTA